TGTGAATGCATCAATGCAGTGCATGTTATCAGCTTGCAGAGTTGGATTCATTGAATGAGTTTACCAAAAATGTAAATACTGCAGAATATACAGCCTAATGCTATATAACTAAGTTTTCTATTTAAGATGCATTAATAATTTAGTTTACTCAGCATGAAATGGAACTATCTTTAGATCAATTTTTACTCAAAAAGCATTTTATTAAAATAAATTTGATAAAACTCAAAAAAATCTGATTTGAAAGAAAAGAAAAAAAAAAAACCAAAATGATTTAAAAATTAAAAAAAAAAATCTGATTTTTACATTTTTAAAAAAAATAATCGATTTTTTATCCACCCTGCCTCCAGTACACGTAGGTGTAAGGTAGGTGTCCAGTGCACGTAGATGAAAGAAGTGTACACAAAGGATAGTGCGCTATATTTCAAGTGATCAACTTTTAATGATTGACCATTATTTAAATTCCATGCCTTCCTCCATATATCTATCATGAAATGTATATTTTAAGTGCCATTCTTAGCACTGCTGGTTGCCTAGCAGTGTTTGACCATGTTTTTTTTATATCATATGCCCCATGAAGCAAAATAAATTTCTTATATTTACAAAAATTGTGGGCCTGTGACTTAAAAGGCCATTGATAGCATGATAGTCTTGAATCTAGTATTTTCAAAGGAGGAACAATTGCAGCTCATGACAGGTTCGCAGGTTCCCCTTAGATAGTAATGTTTTTAGAACAATAAAGAAAATAGTGACAGGGATGAACTCATCAGTCTGCTGCTTCTTTTTCCACATGTCAGTTACAGCCTTGGGGAGGGACATAACTGGTGTTACTTAACTGACTTAACTGCAGCAGAGAAATCAGGCACTCTGTTTTTGACAGAGCTGAGGAAATCCCAGAACTGGATGGACAGAAAAACAAATCTCTTGTAGGTAAGCATCTCTCATATATGTATTTCATCTGTTTTATTGATGTGCCTATAATCCCACTTTTAATGAATACATATCATCAATCGTTTTTTTTTTTTTATCTGCCTAGAGACAGGCTTTAACCTCCCTAGCGGTCTGATTACGTCCATATTTCTACGCTCAAAGCGGTACATTTTTTTTTGCATGGAAATATGTAGTTTTTTTTATTGTAGGCCTGTAATTTTTAGGAATAACTCAATGAAATCTGTCCGAACAAGAGTCTAGTAAACATCCGGGTATGTTAAAATTTGAAAAATGAAATCATAAATTAATAATCATAAAAAATATAATAAATTTAATTCAATAATATAATCAAACCAAAAACCCTGAAATTTGAAATATAGCGCCAAGTTCGCACATCACTGAGCAAAGTCGCTAAATCGTTTTCAATGTCTGATGAGGAATTTCCCCACCAAATCATTATCACTCAATTCTGCAAGTGGTTCTGATTTACTATCGCTGTTCTCTAGCCGGTCTAAAACTGCTTTTGACCTAAAGGGACGCTTTTTGGACACCATGGACATTTCTCAGTTTCCAGGCAGACAGAACGGTAAAAATGCAGGCAGGGCACTGGACAAAGCACTCGGGACAAAATGTATGTAAAATGGTTTGATACAGTAATGTTTTACTATGTGATTTTAGTGTATTTAGTGAATATCACTTTTTTTATCATTTTCAAATTTCCCGCCGTTCCATCCCCCGTACGTCCCGACGTTGCAGGGAACGGAACCCAGATGACAGATGCCGGCATCCGCCGGAGGACATTACAGGGGACACTGCAGGAGGGACATCGCGGGAGCGCAGGACAAGGCAAGTGAAGAACAGATGCCGAAGCAGCGCCACACGGTAAGGCCGGGTGTAGCTCGGGGTTACCGCTTGTGGTACTGAAACTTTACCCCGAGCTACACTCAGGAATACCGCCAGGGAGGTTAAAACAGGACATTTGATCATGGAGACATGTGAAGTTGAGCTTTCAAATGGAAGAGAAGAACACCACACAAACAAATGGCAGCAAACATGCAGTCCCTCTAATCAGCCTGTTTTGTCACAAGCTGATATGTTCATAGTCCTGCCTCCCTACAGTGATTGTAAAAAGGTTTACTAGGCATGTAAAAAGGTTTACTAGGCATGCACCAGACAAAGTGTGAGAGTCCAAAATCTTTTAATACTAGTGTTTGCTCAGACCAGAACACAGCCAAAGCGTTTCGGGACTCAAAAACGTCCCCTCCATCAGGGATGCAAAATAGATACATAAAAAGGTGTAAAAATATAATTCCTATACCAGTCAATTCATGTCAAAATTCATCAATATGAACTGTAAATAAGCTGAATAATAGCAGTCAAACTAAACCACCATATCAAGTCAACTCATCTAAAAATGTGAGCTGAACCAAAATGACAAATGACCATCAGCATAGGAGAAATGACAATAATGCTCAGTATTAAGTGTATAATGAACTGGTGCAGATAAAAAGGTCACAGAAAACAAAACATTACATTTCTTTGGATATATTATGTGACCGAATATTAATTTGATCAAGTTCCTATTATTTTCAAGTTTCAATTTATCTTAGTCCACCCTCCTAACTCATTTTAATTAAAATCATTAACTTTTTTTTTGTTATTTCAATATTTATTATGTTATGGTATTTTATTGCGGTTTTATCCTGTCCGTTTTAATGAGTATCAATTTGAATCCCAGGGTGTTCATTTCAGTAATACAATTAGTCATGGGATATTACAAAATATAAGAAATTCCTTTAAAAAAAGTTATTAAACTAACTGATATAGGAAGTTTTTGTTTATATATCTGTTTTGTAGCCCTGATGAAGGGGGATGTTATTAAGCCCTGAAACATGTTAGGATGTTTAATGATCAGAACAAACTCTAATATTAAAACATTTTAGACTATCTTTGACACTTTTTACATGTGGATCTTAAACATTTGGGTTCCCAATTATGGGGTCCTGCTTTAGTGGTTTGGCTTCTATGAAGTCGCTGCTCCCTATATGATTTTGATGGAATTTTTTCAACCATGAACGAATGATAAACCAAATCCAGCATGCTCAATATATACATTCCCTACTGAGACAAAAACACAAGCTTCTCTCCAGAAACTCTGTTAGAAAATAGGTTCATCTATTCGAATTAGGTGTCCAAACCTACCCTTCACATACGTAGATTCTGTACACAATAGTAATCACGTGATTACTTTACAATGATGATTAAAAAGTTTTCTGGAAAATATTTGCTGCGGACGATCTTAAGAAATCTCTGTACAACATTAAAGTCTTCTGTAGTGTGAGGGTCATATACAATTTCAACTGCACTGCATCCGAGTACCACAAAACCAAAAATGCTATATAATTCATGTTTAACCACTTGCCTACAGGGCACTTATACCCCCTTCCTGCCCAGGTCAATTTCCAGCTTTCAGTGCTGTTGCACTTTGAATGACAATTGCACGGTCATACAACACTGTACCCATATGAAATTTTTCTCATTTTTTGTGACAGATAGAGCTTTATTTTGGTGGTATTTAATCACCTTTTGGTTTATTTTTTCTTAAACAAACCAAAAACCACTGAAAATGTTGAAAAAAAAAAAGTTTTTTTCTTAGTTTTTGTTATACAATTTTGTAAATAAGTGATTTTTCTCCTTCACTGATGTGCGCTAAATGAGGCTGCAGTGATGGGCACTGATAGGCTGCACTGATGGACACCGATAGGTGGCACTGATGAGGAGGCGCTGGTAGGTGGCAGTGATGGGCATTGACAGGCATCACTTATGGGCACTGAAAGGCAGCACTGATACATGGCACTGATAGGCAGCACTGACTGGTACTGAAAGGTGGTACTGATTGGTAGCACTGATAGGTGGCACTGACAGGTGACACTGAAAGGCAGCTCAGATGGGCACTGATATGTGGCATTGATGTGGCACTGACAAGTGACATGGATGAGCACTGACAGCTGGCACTGATGGACACTGACAGGTGGCACTGCTGGGGCTACACAGATCATCAGGGCACACTGATCATCAGTGCCCCGATGATCAGTGTACATGTCCCCTCTAAGGGATGCCGATTACCGGCTCTCTCCTCTCGAGCTATCAGCTCGTAAGGAGAGAAATGCCGATAACCGACATTTCCCTATTTACATGCGATCAGCTGTGATTGGACACAGTTGATCACATGACCGTGCTGACATCTTCGGCTCCTTCCGTTGATCAGTGATGCACTGTGTGCGAGGGACACAGCGCACTGCCGATCGCCGCTCTGCTAGCTCCCGGAGCCGCGCATGCATGGTTAGAATGGGAGGATGTCATATGATGTCCTCCCAGAACGAGAGAACCGCCTTACGCCCGTCATTTTACTATATGGCAGGCGGAAGGCGGTTAATATTCAACACAAACTCCTCCATCCATCCCTGTCTCCACGCTTTATTTTGCGGAGAAATCATTTTGAAAAACACCTCCTGGCATTTTTGGTAGTGGCCATCTTGAGTAAAGGCAGATGATTCATGTAGCAGTTACTTCCTGGAATTCATCTGTCCTTAGCTCAGACATTAGCTGAACTGAGAACCCTCCATCCCCTCCTGAAGACTCCTGGGATGTATGACATCATTTGCCTAGGCATGGAAACCAGGAAGTAAATGAAGAAATGCAAAAAAAGTTAAACACACACATAAATAGGATATCCTATTTACTCTGATCATCTCCTGTACTACATCCGCAGTCTCTGGTCATCCCCTGTACTACGCCCGCAGTCTCTGGTCATCCCCTGTACTACGCCCGCAGTCTCTGGTCATCCCCTGTACTACGCCCGCAGTCTCGGTCATCCCCTGTACTACGCCCGCAGTCTCTGGTCATCCCCTGTACTACGCCCGCAGTCTCTGGTCATCCCCTGTACTACGCCCGCAGTCTCTGGTCATCCCCTGTACTACGCCCGCAGTCTCTGGTCATCCCCTGTACTACGCCCGCAGTCTCTGGTCATCCCCTGTACTACGCCCGCAGTCTCTGGTCATCCCCTGTACTACGCCCGCAGTCTCTGGTCATCCCCTGTACTACGCCCGCAGTCTCTGGTCATCTCCTGTACTACGTCCGCAGTCTCTGGTCATCCCCTGTACTACGTCCGCAGTCTCTGGTCATCCCCTGTACTACGTCCGCAGTCTCTGGCCATCCCCTGTACTACGTCCGCAGTCTCTGGCCATCCCCTGTACTGTCTGCAGTCTCTGGCCATCCCCTGTACTGTCTGCAGTCTCTGGCCATCCCCTGTACTGTCTGCAGTCTCTGGCCATCTCCTATACTGTCTGCAGTCTCTGGCCATCTCCTATACTGTCTGCAGTCTCTGGCCATCTCCTATACTGTCTGCAGTCTCTGGCCATCTCCTGTACTGTCTGCAGTCTCTGGCCATCCCCTGTACTGTGTCCGCAGTCTCTGGCCATCTCCTGTACTGTCTGCAGTCTCTGGCCATCCCCTGTACTGTCTGCAGTCTCTGGCCATCTCCTGTACTGTGTCCGCAGTCTCTGGCCATCTCCTGTACTGTCTGCAGTCTCTGGCCATCCCCTGTACTGTCTGCAGTCTCTGGCCATCTCCTGTACTGTGTCCGCAGTCTCTGGCCATCTCCTGTACTGTCTGCAGTCTCTGGCCATCTCCCGTAGTATGTCCGCAGTCTCTGGTCATCTCCTGTACTATATACGCAGTCTCTGGTCATCTCCTGTACTATATACGCAGTCTCTGGTCATCTCCTGCACTATATACGCAGTCTCTGGTCATCTCCTGCACTATATACGCAGTCTCTGGTCATCTCCTGTACTGTGTCCGCAGTCTCTGGTCATCTCCTGTACTGTGTCCGCAGTCTCTGGTCATTTCCTGTACTATGTCTACAGTCCATTGGTTCAGAATATTTTTTTTCTTGTTTTTCTCTTCTAAAACCTAGGCGCATCTTATGGTCAGGTGCGTCTTATGGAGCGAAAAATACGGTACATTGCAAGGATCTTAAACTTTGTTGCAGATTCCTACCTTTTGTTATTCTGAAGAAATAGCGGTTTGTCTGTGTCCAAGTACAGAGAGAATCTGTATGGGAGTGGTTTTATGATTATCAGCCATCTGCTGCACCTGCAGGGCACTAATGAGAAAAACTGCAAGAAGTGCATCTCTTTAGACATGATTTATATTTGAATGTATTTCACCAAAAATGACATTTTTGTTGCAGCGGATGCTCAAAATCTGCTTCTTAGTACAGACTTCTGGGAAAATCAGTGAGAGAATCACACAGGCAGGAAATGACATGTCTGGGGTGCGTTCTGTACACAGTCTGTTTACAGAATGCGTCCAGGCTGCCATATTGCATTTTACAGAATTATTACAGCAGATTGAAAAGGAAAGGTAATTTTAATAACATTCAACAATATGGTGTGTGACACAATTGTATGTGCTACAAGGGTGTGGAAATTTTTGAAAAAACAACTTGTCCAAGGGACTAAATCGGTGTCCCAATCTACTTGACCCTCATGACAATCTACTTGTTCAGATTAAAAAAAAAAAAATTTTTTTTTAACCAAAACCATATTTAAATCGGAGGTGATATTAGGAATGTTTTTTTTTTTAAAAAAAGGGGTTTTATGGCGACTTAAACGTTTAATATTTTTAACATTGCGCTGTTTATCTCCTCATACCCTCCCTGCCTGTCTCTAGCACTGCACTCGGAGACTAGCTAGCAGGGAGCAGAGAGACACCATGCAGTATTTGCGTTTTATGCACAAGATTAAAAAAAAAATAATTTTAGGCCTGAATATTACACAAAACCCCCCAAATATGATAGATTTTCTGAAATCAGAGACCCTAGAGAATAAAATAGTGGTAGTTCCAATTTTTTATGTCACATGATATTACTGCAAAATTTCAGTAAAAAATACAAGTTTGTTCATTTTAGGGCACAAAAAAAAGGAATAAATTATGTAATTTTTCTGCAAAATATCAAAAATGAGATTGCAGCAAGTAAATAGATATTCAACTTGTCAAACCTTAAATTTGTGTGCACTCGTGAAATGATGGTGAACTTCAGTACCCTATATTTTCTATAGGTAATGCTTTTAAAGCCCCTTCTAGGTCATCAGTATAGTGTTACGGAGGTGGTCTGGTGCTAAAATTATTGCTCTCATTCTGGGGTGCGCGCCGATATGTAATGTGTATCGCAAACAATGTTTTCATGCATAGGCGCCCCAGCGCGTGCTTTTAAGTTTGTACATGCATATATGTGGGGGCATCATTTTGTTTTGGTGGGGGGGATGTTATGTGCTTCGGTGTAACTTTCATATTTTACATTTAAAAAATTAAATTTTTTTTGTACTTAATTTTTTTTTCATCACACTGCATTACATTCTTTCCCGGCCTCAATTGCTGGGAATCGCTCAACGGGGTCCCGGAAGTGACATCATAACGTCAGTTCTGGGTCAGGACAAGAAGGGGAGGGGAGGGGAGCGGCAGTGAGCTGGTCCCAGACGCCAGTGGGCGAGGGGAGCTTCACTGTGTGGAAGCATTCGGGCGGCAGCGCTGCCGCTCGAATGCTTCTAACTTACAGGTGAGCCCTGCTGCAGCAAGGCTGAAGGTAAAACAAAAAAAACTATCTGCCCGGCGCTCGGAACTACATGTCCCGGGCGTCAGGTGATAGAAATTCAACCTTCCCGGTGCTATATTACTTTTTTGTTTTCTTCACTATTTTTTTTAACATGAAAGTGAAGTTACCCTTTAATCAATCTGTGAAAATGCAAAGAAACTACTCTGCACAATGCCAAACCCTGTGGGTGTGGCAATTATGACAAAATAAAGCTTCCTAACCTTTCATAACTTTACATAATCTTGCATAACCCTATACCATTTGGCACAATTCAGATTTGTATGTGTGTTATGACTCAACAGGTACAAAATATGGTAACACAATGTCCTGGTTAAGATGGAAGGAAGATCAAAGTATCAGTAAAACAGGAAGTTCATTCAAAGTAGAGAGAAATACATCTACCACCTGAAGACACTAGTAAAAATTGAAGGCATAATACGGGTAAGGAAGGGTTATGCAGTGCTGGATTTTCAGCTTGCTTTTGCCAGTGTCCAAACACCTTACGGTCGAGCATAACCTACTGGTCTATGAATTAGTCGATTATGTGTTATGATAAAGATATGGGGATCTTACATTCTCTACTGATCACTTTACAGTCTGTTTTCTCTAAGATTACAATTGCACTTTAATGGTATGACCCTCATTGCAATCCTCTCAATTGGAATTAGATAATGGAGTCTTTACTGAATGACAGATTGCAGATGATCCAATCATACAAACACCTGTTATGATAAAGTATTTCCCTACATTTTATTTTACTATACAGGCAATCTTTTGTCTGATTTTGCTCAGGCCAGTTTACAACCAAAACACAGTTTTTATGTGTAGAGGAGACACTCATTATAACTTATGAAAAACTTAATTTGCATGTGCTAAATATTCCTAGCACCCTAGATATGTAAGCTTTGTACTCTTCAAGCTGTAAACGTATGAAAGTTTGCTGTTATACAATTATAATCTCCATCTATGCTCATAAAAGCTCCTAAATAAATAATAAGCAATTGTAATGAGTATTCCTTTTCACTTATAGAATTCCTCTACCCAACTGCCAACAGTTATATTGCAACAGCTTTAGATAAATATTAGGCTTTATAAAAGGTAATATCAAATAATAATAGAAGAGAGAAGTAATAAGCACCTCACAGAGCCCTCACCTGAGTTTTGGATTTGAGCAAACACTCAAGGAACAACCTAAAGAGAAATGTAATCTTGTAAACTCATAAAATAGCCAACAAACTGGAAACATGAGAAAATGGAACCAGTGACTAGAAAACAATACAATTCTGGCTATTATTTTCTTAACACAGACTGGGGTGATCAAAATACAATCTTTCATAAATGATGTTCATTATCGGATCATCACTTAAATTAAACTGGCAACTTACAACCTGTTGGTTGGAAACTTTCTGGAAAAGCCCTGTAAAGTGAGAAGTGGGTTTGTGGAAAGTACCAAAAATGCACCAATGTCTTTGTTAGCCAGGTATCATAGGTAGCTCTGATGCTCCAGCAGTCTCAAGCATGTTTCACACCACACTGAAAGCCTCAAAATAGTTGAAACAGTAACTCTGCTACCACATGTCAACATTCCGACCAGAAAAGGACCACTTATGCACCCTTACAAAATAAAGCACATGTTCACTTTAACCCCTTCGTGCCTAAGGGTAAAATAAATATTACCACCTAAGCACAATTTGGCAACTTTGATATCTGTTAGCAAAACCGTGCATATCACATCTACTTTGTGTACCCAGGTGCATTATACCGTTTTTATACATTTTTTTTTCCAGGACAAATTGTGCTTTTATTTGGTGCTAAAATTATATATATTTTTTTTTATTATTACCAAAGGAAATCTGGCCCAAAACCGAAAAAAAAATAAATAAATAAATTTAGCTGTATATTTCTTGCTATTACCATAACCAACCACCAAAGAACAACCCAAAATAATTTTTTCTGCTCCTGATGATCGCAGCGATGCCACATGTGTGTATGTTAGTTGTTGTTTGTACCCGTAGTACAGCCCGAAACAAAAGTGCGCAATTTGCTTTTTTTTTATTTTTCTTTATTCTTCCACTAACTGACACTGATACTAATTTGAAAATTAACCAAAAGAAACCCTAACCAAAAAAAAAACCTGACCCTTGACCCAAACACTAACCCTGGCACAGACCTAGACAAAACCTTGATCTAGGTATATATGTGAATGTTTTTTATTTATTCAGCGTCAAGGGGTTAATTAGTGAAACTTAGCCATTTCAACAGTACTCTTTAGGTTCAAACAATATTTGTACAAGAATATTTTACTCCAACATTAAAAAGGAATGCTGCAAGCAAAAATGTATTTCACTGCAATTTTTAATCTTTTTAATCAATTATAATTGATTAAAAGGATAAAAATTGCAGTGAAATACATTTTTACATTTAATAATTATTAAAGCGAACCTGTGCATGAGCACTTCAAAATGAAAACAATGCAATTTTAATATTAAAAAAAAAACTCACCCATCCATGTCTCCATGCTTTATTCTGTTGAGAAATCACTTTGAAAACAAACCCTTAGCACTTCTAGCTGCAGACATCTTGAGGAAAGGCAGAAGATTCATGTAATATTTACTTCCTGCAATCCATCAACCCTTAGCTCAGGCATGCAGACAGGAGGGTGTGCTTAGCTAAGAAAGTCCCTCCTTCCCTCTTCTACATGAAACAAAAATAATGCCCAGGAAGACTACAGGGATATAGGACATAATTTTGGCCTAGACAAGAAACCACGATCCAAAGTGGAAATAAATAGATAAAAGTTTAATGGTTAAGATGACCTGTGGAACAATGAACCCTATTCAGGGTGGAACAGTAAACATGTTCTAGCTCCTACCTCCTCTTCCTCCAATTACACCTTGCCTGTGACAGCGGGAGGGGGATCTTCCCCCTGGCACCTACTGTCACTTTCTGAAAACAGCATGGCTGTGTTGGGCTACACTCACACAGCTGTACCATTCATTCACAGATTCCTGTGAATGAATAAAACACACACACACAGTTGTGCTGAATAGTTTTCATACCCTTGCAGAAATCGTGACATTTTGGCATAAATACTGAAAGTATGACTGATCATGCCA